TGGCGAGACCTCATCTCTACAACAAATCAAAAATCAGCCAGGCGTGGTAGCGCGCCTGTAGTTCCAGCTACTCGGAAGGATCGCCGGAGCCCAGCAGGTCGAGGCTGTGGTGGCCGGGAGCGGCCACTGCGCCCCTGTCTGGGTGCAGAGTGAGACTCCAACTCAAAAAAAAAAAAATAGAGAGAGAATGGATTTGAGGAATATGTCTTTGAAGGCAAGAGTTTACTGCAGCAACCAGGGAAAGAGCTGATGAAGGAGAAGTGGTGAACAGAAGCAGTGGCTGTAGGAACAGAGAGGAAAGAAATGTGTGGAGATATTGCAGTGGCAGCAATGACACTGGGGAGCCGTTAGAAAAAGCTGGGTTTGATGAGTGCTTACCCTGCCCCATGTATTGTGCTAACTCAGCCTCTCTGACAACCTGTTATCATGCCAGTGCACACAGGGACACTGATGGATCTGTCCAAAGTCACACCACTAGTAAGCGGAAGATTTGGGATTCAACCCGCTCAACTCTTGATTTCATCGTTTTTCTCAGTGTTGCTTTTTCCTGGCACCACCCACCCTCATCCCTGGTTCTGAGCTCAGGTTTTGAGGTGGTAACTCTGAGAGGCTTGTGGGGTATCAGAGTTAGCTGGAGACTTGGCCAACAGACACTCAGGAAGGGGGGTGCTGCCCTGAAAGTCAAGAGGAGAACAGAGCTTCGTGAATTCTACAGGGGGTGAAAAGGGCAGCATGGCCAAAATCAGCGGGGCAGTCTCAGGAGACAAGGGCAGGAAACCGTGGAGCACAGGAGAGGCCCTGCTCAACTTCACCCTCACTTCTGGGACTGGTGGATGCCAGGCAGAGTTGATTCTGCAGCTGGATGAGAAGGGAAGGTGGGTCCAGGGATGGAGACTTGGAACCCGGAAAACTTTTTCACTTAGCTTGGCTGTGAGGGAAGGGAGGCCAGATCACAAGGTCTAGAGAAATATGTATTGTTGTCAGTTCTTATTTTATTTTTATTTTTTTAAAGCTTTGGAAAACACAACCATGCTTACAGCTTGAGGGTATAGGAAGAAGACTGAAGAACCAAAGAAGTGCATTTCCTGAATTGACTGGAGGCCCTGAAATTCAGAGGGGGAGGGCAACACGCTGAAGGAAGAGAGAAGGAATGCAGCAAAAACAGTCCAAGGTAATTCTCTACTTAGGAGGCTAAAAAGTGAAGTGAGCCCCCCACCCCCAGGACCTGCCAGGTTCACTCTGTGATGTAAGGGGGGAATCATCTGCCGAAGATTCACGCAGGGAGGGCAGTGAGAGGTTAAATCGTTAGGGGTTCTGTGAGTGTGTTGTGAAACACAGCCGTTCAAATGGCGATCATGGTGAGACCATGGACACCATGGAAATCAGCAAATACTTCTTTTTTGAGCATCTGTGTATCAGTGCAACACTGGGTCATGAATAAAGAGAAGGTCTCAAAAAGGGATGTAGAGAATGAGAGAGGCAGGTGCAGGAGGACCATGCAGAATGATGAGCTGGCATCTACGAGGGATTCTAGGGGCACTGGTCCTCCTCTACCAGTGCTCTGCAGTCCCCCAGACTGGCTGGAGGGAGCTGGAACCTGGGAGTCTGTGGGATGAGTCTGGTGGAGGCAAGGAGCCAGGAACTGAGGTTTGACCTTCGAGGAGGTGCTCTGGAGTCCAGCTGGGATAAGAAAGGAAATGAGGCTAAGAAGATGACTGATGTATGGGGGGAAAATGGGGGAACTGAGGGCACCGGAGGACTTGATGAGGTCTAACAGGAGCTTTTAGAGGTGGAACAGCTTCAGATAGTGACAATGTCAAGGCTGGCCATTGACATGGGCACCCAAAGTCCAGTGGGAGAAAGAGGTGTGAGACTTGGTCTCTCTAGGTATGTGACTCTTGTAAGGCCCTGCCTGGTGTTGGATGCGGTGGCCAAGGGGACATCCAAAGTTGCCTAGAAGGTGGGCAGGTCTTGAGGATGGAGATGGTGAACCACTCTGCCAGGGGTGGATACGTAACTCTGAGAGGCCAAGTGACTGGCCCAAAGTCACACAGTCAGCAAATGGATGGACTCCAAGCACCCAGACCTTCTTCTGGCCCCACCTCAGCAGGGTGTTCTTCTGGAGCTCTGCTGGGGCCCTCCTGCCACGAGATCTTCTGATTCTAACTCTATCCCGAAGTACTCAGGGGTGAGAATCAAGACCAGGGACAAAACTCCCTTCTATTCTGAGCATCTTTCATGGAGACTAGTTTGTTTTTCAAATTCTCCTTTTTTTTTTGAGTTGGAGTCTCACCATGTCGCCCAGACTGGAGTGCAGCGGCACACCCTAGGCCACCACAGCCTCAACTTGCTGGGCTCCGGCGATCCTTCCGCCTCAGCCTTCCAAGTAGCCGGAAATACAAGTGTGTGCTACCATGCCAGTTTTTGATTTATTATGGAGATGAGGTCTCACCAAGTTGCCTGGGCGGGTCTCGAACCCGCGGGCTCAGGTAATCCACTCATCTCGGCCTCCCAAAGTGCTGGGGTTCCAGGCTAAGCCACCGGGCCCAGCCAAATTCTCGTTTTCATTATTTCCCTCCATTCAAGGTAGAAAAGGCCCTTCAGAAGATAACAGTGTTGGCTGGGCATAGCAGCGCGTGCCTATAGTCCCAAATTCCTGGAAGGCTGAGGAGGAAGGATCGCCTGAGCCCAGGATGTCAAGGCTGCAGTGAGCGGCAATCCGGTAACTGCACTTCATCCTGGGGGACAGAGTGAGAACCCAACTAAAAAAAATAATAATAAGATAATGGTATTACAATTGAACTTGGGGAGGGAGGAGGAGGACGTTATAATGGCACTTTGGTTATTTTTGAAAAAGTCTTTTAGAGACTCATAAGAAGGAAATATTTACAGATGAAATGCTATGATGTCTTGGATTTACTTCAAAATAGTCTAGGCCTGGGTGTGCATGGGTGGGTGTGTAGCAAAAAACAAGCCTGGCCAAGAGTTGATCACAGTGAAAGCTGGATGATGAGCTCATGGGGATGCAGCCAGCTCTTGTCGATATTGTTCTGTACATGGTCTGAAATGTTCCAGAATAAAAACCAGTTGTCTGATGAGGTTGTTAGCAAAAAGCAGAGCCACCTCAGGCTGCACGCATCCATGTAAAATGTTCAGGATGAGAGCGAGGGTGTGGAGAGACCCCACCTGGGGGTTGTGCTCCATTCTGGGCCATCGTGAGAGGCAGGAGCAGGTGTAGTGGAGGCCCCGGGGAAAAAAACTCCAACTTTTGACTCATTTGTCTCAGCTGAAACTGGGCTGCCAGTGGAGGAAAGACTTCAAGGGGACCGGAAGAGCTGTTGTCACTGCAGAGCGGGCTGCCCTTGGGAATGGGGGCAGAACCTGTGCTTAAGTGAGTCTGTGAACACACACCCCCCTGCAGGTTCCATCAGGGGGCACTGGCCACACCTTTCCTCTGCGTTTCACCCGCTCTCTCCAACCCACTGCTCTTCCCTCACAGGCTTCCCCAGGCTTGGGCAAGGGGGAGCCCTGTGACCCTGCCTCTGAGGGGGAAATCTGACTGCTTTAGAAGTCACGAACAGCCTGAATCTGCTCCTCTCCATTGGCCTAAAACACCCTGTTCTCTACGTGTCTGAGATGTGAGGTCTAACTTGGCTCCAAAACCCCTCCAGGGAAAAGGCTGGGCTGAGGTCGCTCTCCACATGGCTCAGTACTAATCCCTCACATCTGGACAAAACCTGCTCTGTGCACCATGGTGCAACTGTCCATGCACTCATCCAGGCCTCCAAGAGTGCATCCGAGAGAGCAAGCTCAGGGCATGCTCAACTTGGTCCCGCACTGGCTGCTCCCTCCCGCACTGGGATCCTCACCACAGCGTTGACTTGAAATGCATCATGGCAGGAAACACCTTGGAGATCCTGTCCTCAGCCTGGTTCAACCAGAGTTGTAGGACTATAAGAAACTTTCCTCTCCTCTCCTAGCCTCTGCTGCCTCCTCTGTAAAATGGGTGGGGAGGCCTGCAGCCCTGTCTCTCACACTAGCCATCCATAACTCCTCTTTGTCATTCAGACCCTGCTGAGAGGCCTCAAAAATTAGCTGCGAAGACAAAACTGGAATAAAGGGTAAGTTGTTTCTTGGACCAGAAGCTCCATCAAGGCAAGATCTGGGTTCCTGCACACACACACACACACACACACACACACACACACACACACACACACACACACACACTCACTCACCCCATGGGGCCTTCAGAAGCTCAGACAAGAGGAGTGGAAGTGCAGAAGGCTGGAGGATTATTCCGACCAACCCTGGGCAGCCAAGGCTGTGGTTCCGCGGTGTTCCCTTCCTTCCACTCCTCCCGCCCTCCCGCCCCCGCCAGTTGGGAAATGGACCTCCTTGGATGCCGGATTGTTTTCTCTGGCCTGCCTCCTGCTCAGGACCTGATGTGCACCCTGGATGGTGGCCATGGGTGGGGCATCCTGTGCTGGTGAGAACTGGCTGCCTGGGAGTCCAGAGGCCCTGGGGGAGGACTGGGCTGGCAGGCCGCCTCAGTTAAAGGGACGTGGCCACCATCCCACCTCCCTCTTAGGAGGCAGGAGCACGACCCCCTCCCACTCACAGGCCTTACAGGGAGAGCTTTTGTACCTGGGACCCAAACAGTAAGAAAGTGCCCACAACTCAAATGACTTCTGTAGGCTGGGTGACGAAAAACATTTTCTCACTGGTGACTTTGAAAGGTGCTGCTGTACCTTCTGAATCATCAAAGTCACAGTTTGCTTTGACCGGCAACACTGGCCACTTGGAGGTTAATTATACTTGACCACATTCAATGTCATAGAATAATAAACTTTGCCACATCCAATATTTGTGATTCATTCAAAACTATCCGTGGGTTTTGATTATTTCTTAAGCAGCGGAACACTATTTTCAAACAACTCTGAAGAATAAAAATGTGTGGAGCCATTCTGGCTACAATCAAAGAGAGACCCTCAAGCTCCCTAAGAGAGAGCTCAGATTCTGAGGAACATTTTTGTTTGGTCTTGTTTGGGGAGGGATGTGTCCTATCTCCCTTGGTCTTTGATCATTTTCCAGATCTGGATTTGAGCCTCACGATTGCTCTGACCATTAACCGATGTTATTCCCATGCATCCAGTATCTGACTAAGTTAGTGTTTTACTTAGGATACAGGCTAAGCTGCCGTGACAAGGAGTCACCATCAATTACACCCATGTTTATTTCTCTCTCGTGTCAATTCAGAGGTAGATGGACCTGTGGTCAGGGCTGGCAGGCAGCTCAGTTCCCTGAGGTCATACAGGAACCCAGATTACTTCCATCTGGGAACACTGTGCTCTTTTTTTTTTTTGAGTTGGAGTCTCACTCTGTTGCCCTGGCTGGAGTGCAGTGGCACGCTCTCACGGTCACCGCAGCTTCGACCTGCTGGGCTCTGGCGATCCACCCGCCTCAGTCTTCCAAGCAGCCAGAACTACAGGTGTTCACTACCACACCTGGCTATTTTTAAAAAATTTTTATTGTAGAGACAAAGTTTCACCAAATTGCCTGGGCTGGTCTCAAACCTGTAGGCTCAGGCAATCCACTCACCTTGGCCTCTCAAAATGCTGGGATTACAGGCTTAGCCACCAAGCCCGACCCACTGTGCTTTTTAATCTGCCAAATTAGAATGTACTAAAACACTCCCAAATCCCCAGAATGCTGAGAAAATCTAAGAAGCCATGGAGGATAAACCTCTCCGAGTGCTGCAGAAGGAACACAAACTAGGGAGTCAGAGACGTGCCCCTGCTCGGCTATTTTCTGACTGAGAGCTCCCTGCCCCTCTCTCAGTCTCTTCATCTGTCAGGTGTCTGCCCTGCCCTGCCCCCCTCCCACTCACAGGCCTTACAGGGAGAGCTTTTGTACCTGGGACCCAAACAGTAAGAAAGTGCCCACAACTCAAATGACTTCTGTAGGCAGGATTGCTGTGTCGCTTCTGCACTTGAAAATACTTTGGAACTGCCACGCGATGTGCAAATGCCGCAGGAAAGCATTTACCAGGTGTGGTGACTTAGGCTCAGAGAGATGAAGGCGCCAGGCAAACGAGTTGGTGAAGCCCAAACCAGGACCCCACCTTTCCATAGAGAAGCTGTACTCATTGCTTGATCACCCTGACCAAGGTAGAGAGGTGTTTGCTTCAGGACTAGACCTATGCAGGGAGTCAGATGGTGCCAAGTCCAAGGAATGCTCAGGAGGGGCGTCTCTAACAAGAATCCAAGGGCTCTGTCCTGACCTCACTCTCTGGGTTCTGTTACAAACCAGTCCCACTTGCTGCATCCTTGGCTTCTTCACCTTTAGAATGGGCATAACCATACTCTATATTCCATACTCTATATACTATTTTTTTTTTTTTTGGTTTTTTTGGTTTTTTTAAATTGGAGTCTCACTCTGTCACCTAGACTGGAGTGCAGTGGCCGCTTCCAGTCACTGCAGCCTTGACCTGCTGGGCTCTGGCAATCCTTCCGCCTCAGCCTTCCAAGTAGCTGGAACTACAGGCGCGCACTACCATACCCAGCTAATTTTTTTGATTTATTGTAGAGATGAGGTCTCGCCAAGTTGCCCAGGCGGGTCTCGAACCCATGGGCTTGGGCAATCCACTCACCTCAGCCTCCAAAAGTGTGGGATTACAGGCTGAGCCACTGAGCCCAGCTTTGTTTTTTAGAGACACAGTTTTCCTCCGCTGTCCAGGCTGGAGGGCAGTAGCAAGATCACAGCCCACTGCCCCCTCTAACTCCTGGGCTTAAGCAATCTTTGTGCCTTAGCCTCCCGAGTAGCTAGGACTACAGGCATGAGACAACACACTTGGCTCTTTTTTGGGGGGGTGGGTAGTGACAGGGTCTTGCTATGTTGCCCAGACTGGTCTTGAACTCCTAGCCTCAGGTAATTCTCCCACCTTGGCCTCCCAAAGAGCTGAGATTACAGGCATGAGCCACCACACCCAGCTCCAAACTACTACTGATTTGTGATTGCTTATCATGTGCCAAGATTTCTGTTGAGTGCTTACATGCCTCTTATTTACTTCTGCTTGTGAGGTCAGTACTCTGATATCCCACCCCACCTCTTTTGTTTACAGATTAGAAAAACAAAGCTTAAAGAGGTTGAGTCAATGCCCAAGACTGCACAGTTAGTAGGTGGTGGTGAGGGGATTTGAGTTCTACCTGTGTGACACTGTCTATACTGTGCCCTAGCAGCAGTATGATTTTGTGTAAGTTAAGGGCCTCCGGTCTCAGGGCTTCAGCTGCCTACTCTGTAAAATGAGGCACTAGAGCTGAACAGATAGATATGGGGCAAAAGTAACTTTTTTGGGGGGGGGTTGGAGTCTCACTCTGTTGCCCAGGCTGGAGTGTAGTGGCATGCTCACAGCCCCTGCAGCCTCGACTTGTTGGGCTTAGGTGATCCTTCTGCCTTAGCCTTCCAAAGTAGCTGGAACTACAGGCGCATGCTACCACGCCCAGCTTATTTTTTGATTTATTGTAGAGACGTGGTCTCACCAAGCTGTCCAGGCTGGTCTCAAATTCCCGGGCTCAGGCAATCCTCTTGCCTCGGCCTCCCAAAGTGCTGAGATTATAGGCTGAGCCACCGCCTGGCCACAAAGGTAAACTTTACACATGACACTTTTTTTTTTAGTTGGAGTCTCACTCTGTTGCCCAGGCTGGAGTGCAGTGGCATGCTCATGGCCACCGCAGTCTTGACCTGTGGGACTCAGGCGATCCTTCCACCTCAACCTTCCAAGTACAAGAAGTTGGGACTACAGGTACATGCTACCATGCCTGGTTAATTTTTTTTATTTATTGTAGAGATGAACTCTCACCAAGTTGCCCAGGCTGATCTTGAACCCCTGAGCTCAGGTAACCCTCTCACATCAGCCTCCCAAAGTGCTAGGATTAAGGCTTAAGCCACTGCTCTCAGCCTTGACATGACACCTTTGCAGCTGTCTTAAGGCCCCTAAAGAGCCCATATGTACACCTTGGATCAAACTGTCTTTGAGTGGCTCACTTCTCACTGTATCTACTTTTGTTGTTTTTTTTTTGAGTTGGAGTCTCACTCTGTCGCCCAGACTGGAGTGCAGTG